TATCTAAGTAGTCCTGAAAAATTTTTCCATCAGTTTAATTTTCAAAATCATGATGCTCCAAAAGAGCCATTTCCCTTGCAAATTTTCAGGTGGGTTTTAGGTACTTGCATATATTGCTATGCAAAGCCAGTGGTTCAGGAAGAAACTTTGCAGAAACAGCAGTTACTGAGATCAATTGTTTCAGAAAATGTTCTTTGATGGAATGACTTGCCGCCGTGTGTCTAACTTTCTGCATGGCCAACTGTTTTGTCTCCAAATATTATAAAAATGGCAACTGGACCAAACCCTAAAGAACCCTTTACAAGCAGTTGGTTTTGTTGCCTGAAGTTCATAGTGTTACCAATAACAATTTATACAATCCATTCTGTAGGGCTATACCAATGCAGCAGCATCACTATGAAAAAACCCAGGCTTTCTGTCATTTTCTTTAATGCAATAATTTTCTCCTTCAGCCAGGAATCTTAGAGCAGTCTATTCCTTTTGACCATCAGCTCTGCACTGTGAAGCAATGTATAGGCAGTACGGCTGAGGTCTAAAAAGCCTTTAAAATAGCTCAAACCCTTTCAACCTCACCCCTCACAAGACTCCTCTTGGGATTAGTGGCTTTATTTAATATTGGTTAACACTTATCTGGAACAAGCTTGCTATTCTTCCATTAAGCTTTATTCTGGTCATTCTTTCAATCTCCATTTAAATTCCGTTTTTTTCTCTCTGCTGGCATCTGTACCTTTAGCTGCCTCATAAACAAGACGCATTGCCAACTGGAACAGGCGAGCAGAGCTAACCTCTGCTCCTTTCTACCTCCTGCAGATTGGTTTCTGGAGACATATCTGGATTGGTTTCGGGAGACATATCAAACGCAGGGCTTGGGGCCTGGGAAGTGGGAGTCCTGAGCTGCACGGAAACTCAGAAGACCCGGACTTCAGGCTATTAAACTATTGGGCTGGCTCACTGAATTATAGCTGTGCATACTTTTTTTTTTTTTTTTGCACTAACCTATTAAGCCAGAGTCACATGCACTTATTTCAGCTGAGTGACTCTTATTCTGTAAATAGGTGTCCTGAAAACCCTGCAAATGATTAGGCAGCTGTCCGCAATCAAAATCTGATCCAGAACAACTGGTCCAATATTTAACTTTTCTAAGTGGACATACAGAGGAGAAAACACTCAGGCACCCAAAGATGCTTATAGATTCTGGCTGAGGGTAGCATTATCTTTATGTTATACTCCCAAAATTTGTGCTCTTCATCAAAGTAGAAATCACGTATCAATAACAAAATAAATTGTGGAATTGGAAAAGTTTTTCTTTGGCAAAGCCGAGGCAGGCAGTATAAGGTCAATACATGGAAGAGTCTAACGCAGAGACTGTGCGAGTGGCAGCTTAGGAGGGGGGAACTGGGCCTGCTTCTCCTCTCACCTTGCCCCGGCCCGGCCTCGCCACTGCAGGTACGACGGTCCCCGTCACATAGCACACAGCAACAGGGTGCACGGCACGGCAGCTGCCGTGGCAGAGCTTCTCCCTGCACGTCTGTAGCAGAGAATGAGCTCTGGGCCTTTTCTCAGAACTTCAGCAGCAGTAGTCGTTGATGACTGCTCACTTTTTAGGGTCAACCACCATGTGTGGATTTCTGCATAATCAAAATTGTATTTGACCTTGCTTTTCTTTCAGTTGTGAGGTCAAGGCTTTGTGCCTTGCCTTTTCTACGCTGGTAAATGTTTCGCTCCTCAGTTTGTAAGGCAGAAAGTCTAGCCAACGAGTACATATGACACCGACAACTTACATGTTGCTAATCTGGGGAAAGAAAATACATATTTAGAAGAATCAGCAGCCTACAAAGGATATAACGTTACTGAAGAGTTTCACTATAACATTGTAGAGTACAAAAAAGAAAATATAAAGTGCACTTTAAATGATTAATGTACAAAAGCTGACCTCTTCCAGTGTGCATTAACCAAGAAAAAATGCACACCTTCTATAGTGGTTAATGTTGCAGGTCCATTATTTAGCTTTGATAATGTGCATAAAAATGCTCAATATGACAATGAGTTGGGGTAGCTGAGAATTTAGGATGGTGGCAAGTTTGGTGTAGTATTTGGATTAGCATTCTTAACCTACATCTTGACAGCTTCTTTTCTTCAGTTCACAAGCGTTAATAAAATCTAGCTGTATCCTCTTTGCTTTTTGGTTATCTTTTCTTGGTTTTTTGCTTGTTTTTAAACAAAACATTTAAAAATAACACCTGCTCAAACAAATACTACCAGCATTCATTAGTCAGGATGGTTATATGTAAAAGAAATGATGCCAGATAGTAACAAATCCAAGAGAAGTTTATTATGAAAATGGCACCTGCGGGATGAAAAAAATTAAGTTACATAAAGACAACCATGTATGACATGTATGAGAATCTACAAAAGTATAAAAAGAACCCTGTTGTAAATGAAGTATGTACATTTCTGATTTGCAGCATTATCAATGATCAATGAAAAAAATGTTTCAAATAAGCCAGGCACTCAAGAAGTTAGATTCGGTTAGCTTAACACAAAATAAATGTACCATAGCTGTCACTTTTTAACATTTTAATTCTTTTTTTATACTGTAGAGTTGGTAACACTGCTAAGATTTATACGAACAGAATCCCTTTCCCCATTATTCAGCTACTTGGCACCAGTCTCCTCATAAAAGATTTCATATATTTGTACAAGAAATAGTTAAAAACACAGACACAGTCTTCACAGGTAATGAAGTTTTTTTTTCATTTTGTAATTTTAAACACTATGGATTTAGACAGCAGCTGTGATTATCTGTTAGTTTAAATCACCAGAAATCATTTTGACACAACACAGAAACATTTATAAAAAAAAAAAAAAACAACAGCTGTCTAGCTGTTCTTTGTAGCTGATAGGTGCACTCCTTTGATTGTTCAATAGCTAGAGTAGAGCTTCCAAAATTAAACTTTGAATTTCCCAATCAGCTTTCTTGTCTTTTTTAGACCTACTTAAATCCTTCAAATGTAACCTTTAAAAGCTCATTAATAAAATTTGTGGCATCCAATTCCTTTTCGCTATTATTCCACTGTGGCTCGGACCAACTTCTCAAATTCAAAGCTACTGCAGGAATTGACTCAACACAGTGAGCGATCAAAAATTCAAAGGACAGCTGAGTTAATATATTAGCATTGCACACGTAAGCAAATATATATGACAATTCTAAGCTCAGTTTCCTTTTTTAACAACGTTGGTTGACCTTTGAAAGAATTTTCTGTCTCACTGGTAATTGCTCTATGTATTACTCCATCAGCTTACCTGGGAGAAAACCAAAGAAATGCACCCTCTGCTTACAGTTAGAGCACAAGGGACTCTGGGAATGTTAACAACTGAGGCTATATGGCATCAATTTGTTTAATATTTCTGAGCATTACTCTGTAGTGCATTGTGTGGTACACTGGAAGAGTAAGTCACACCCAGAATTCCTCTGTGGGAAAAATGGCTCCATTAACCTTGAGCTAGTTAAGAGTCTTTTATCTCTGAGAGCGAAGAAGAGAGGAAGAGCGAGTGAGAGAACGAGAGAGGGGAGAAGTGCGGAGAGGGAGAGAGAGAAAAAGAGAGAGAAAGGTTTGAGAATACACAACAGCAAAGCAACAGCAGAAATTAAAAGGTATACAGACAGTGGAAGCAGCATAAGGTGACATTACAGAGGAAGGCCACCACACAAAAACCACTAACCCCCAAGAATCACTGGTTCACTAGGACTGCAGGAATGGGACTTTACCACTCCGGACTAGAGATAAAGCACAGAGAAGACAAAGGACAAAACAACTACATTAGCTTAGTATATACTGCATATAGTAACACACATTGAAACTGCAATGGGACTGACAGCCAAGGACACTTACACATTGTACACATTACAGTTCTCACATCTGTTATTAGATGCCTTAACAAACAGCTGCCAAAGATGGAGTGGAAGAAGAATTTATATTTGACAGTCATTTGGAGTGTTTGACACTACACTGTGATTTCTGGCAACAAAGACAAAATAGGAGATTTCTTTTCTTTTACTTAATGTGCAGTTTTCAGTTGTAGTTATCTATTTCAAGCTTATTAACCCCTTCTTTAGTTTTAAAACATATTGGTTTCAACCCTAGAAATAAGGAAAAACAACAAAAAATACCCAAATCAAAGAATAAAAAGAAATTTACAACCTTCCCTCTATAATATTAAAGAAAAACAAAACAAAACATGTTAAATATTTCTTGTTTTTTTTTTTTACTCCGAAGTGTTATCTGATGATGTAAAATTAGCCTCAGTTACACTGAGAAAAAATAAAGCAAAACAATATGCACCTAAGAAACTGCTCCTCGCGTCAATTAAATTGAGTTTTTTGTTTTTTAAGCGCTTTTTGAAAAAGGCTTCCTGACCCATTTAAATTTGATGTGAGGCTATGCTTGTTAGTTTGGAGGTAAAAAATTTTAAGTCCTGCAGCAAATGTTAATGAGGGCTTTTGTCTTAACTAACCAAGGAGACTGCAGCACCCGACTATAAACCAGTACAGAACACATTCTTTTCAAAAAACCCAGCCCACAAGCTGCATATTGTATGAAGACATTACAGATTAATAAATGATAGCACCATGGTTTTAGAAATTAAGTTAAAGTTTCAGTAATTAACATTTAGTCCAACTTTTTAACATTCTAGTCACAGGCCAGAAATTAACTTTTTAAGAACCCAAATTATTTTATGTGCAAGTAAGAAAATCTTAACCATAAAAAGAGAATTAAACTCTGCATAAAATTCTAAAATACTATCCCCTATTTTTAAAGGAATTAGGAACAAAAACCCCTTTTCATTTGACTTAGTCAAACAGGGCACATTGTTTATGCTTGTCTCTTTTAATCTTGATCATATCAAGATCATTTTGAAGTAAAACCAATGGTTGTCACTTTAAAATCTCTTTACCACAACACTGAGTATTCTATGGCAGAGGCATACACATATTAAAGGCATCTTAATAAAGATGCAAAGGAAAAAACACACATCTTAGAAGAAGACAAAATGGCAGGCAACTGGTACTTCGACTCTCTGAAGGCAAAAATAAAAAAATATCTTTACATTAAAGAATAAGTCAAGTTAAAGAGAAAGGGAATGAAATGGGGACCATCATATTGAGAGAATAAGCTGACCTGCTCAAATTCAAAGTGCTAGAATTAAAGGTCTAAATTAAAACATAGTCTATGCCTCAGAGTACAACACTGAACACAGTATGTGGTCATATTTCAATCCTCCTTCCGTTCCAGAGTCTGTGTAGTATGAATGCCATTGCTGTACACAGGAAATGGAAGAGTGGAAAAAAGTCCTTCGGCAGTTGTGAACACATTCCCTGCAGGCATTTGGGTCAGACTGGCCCCGCTCACAGCACTTCCAAATGGTCCCGACATATTGAGTCGGTGAACATGGTGGTAGAGCATTTCCATCGGTGTTTTAGGATCCAGCCCAAAGCTGGGGCTGTTAACATCAACAAAGTTAACAGCGTGGGTGTTGGGGAGGAGATTGCCCTGCATGGCTAAAGTAACTTCAGCTGGAGCATACCGAATAGTGCCAGTGGTGTAGACCCTCTGAGCAGCAGTGCTGGTCGCAGCAAGGGTTCCTGTTACCCTGTGAACCAAAGGAAGCACCACATTGCCTGCCTGTAACCTCTGGAGGGCTTCCAGATCCCCAGTGTACAACAAAGAGTTGGAAGTGCTGGGACCGCCTGGATGTTTGTCCCGTGGAGATGCTGAAAGCGGGGGTGACAAAGGGTCAGAGGATACAGGAGCCAAGGCCGAGTTGGATGAGGTGCTGAACTGAGTTTTACGGCTGGCAGTATTTTCAGTCCCTGGCGGGGTGAGAACGGAGTCTGGAATGGAGACGTGTAAACTACTGCTGGCTTGGGGGGACGGGAAGTGCTCGGAGCTGGGGGGCTTGGTCATACTGTAGGGTGATTCATTCCTTGAGATTTCCCTGTTGGGTGGGTAATTCCAAATACTGCTATCATTATCAAAATTGATAGGTTCTGAGATTTCTGTTTTAATTTTGAGCACTGAGGCACTGTTTGGCGACGAGAGCAGCTGGGGCTGGTCCACCAAAGCTGAGTCAAGTCCATTTGGACTTGAGGTGCTTGACAGCCTTCTCCGGGTCATGCTGCCTCCCTTTTGCTTTTTTCTCCTCTTCTTCCTCTTTTGATGTTTGCTGGAAGACTGGGCATTTACTTCCCCTGCACTGTCTGAGTCCTTGGCACTGTCCGAGGTCAGCGATTCACAGTTCTGTAACCGTAAGTCTGACTCACTCTCTACATAACGTTCCACCTTGATCTGCATAGAACCAAGAGTGCCAAAACTGTCCTCAGGGGCCTTTTGATTCTCGAAGTCAGAGTTTTCAAAGCTGTCATCACTGTCCCTGCTATCCTGGTTGCTGGAGCTGTTCCCATCATCATTACAGTTCATTTCATTATCCGACTGATTCCCCGACTTCTTCCTGTCGGACTCAGGGTCTTCACTGTTTTCTGACTGGTTTCCTTTCTCATCTGACTTTGAGTTCTCGTTGTCCTCTGGAGCAAAAGGAAAGTGAAAGAAATCATTAGCAATAGGAACATAATGCTATAACTCAAGCTCAGATTTCTACGTACCAATGAGATTTGATCACTGCAACATTTCTGGCAAAAAGGCGTTTTCTTCTGCAGAGCTACATTTTTTTGCAATATTGTGTTGGCAGTTTTGTTCATCATGAATCGCCCTGACCCAGGACTGTCAATGCACTAAAAACTTATGTTGCATGGCTTGAATTTTCTTCAAACGAGCTGTGGCACGTTGATTGAGGGTGGCCCTTCCATCTGCTCTCTTAGCAAGAATCATTTTGACAACTGTGAGCACAACTGCATTCTAGTTGTATCATTCAAGGGGGAGTCAGTGAACAATCCCATTATGACCAAGCATTCTGGTAACTGTTCTTTCACATCTGGGTCCCCCTACAGTGGGCAGGCATGAAGATGTAACACTATTAACTAATGAAGATTCTAGTCCTCACATTGCCTTTTCCTCTCACCTTCGCCACTTTGGCATAGTGCCTCTGACTTCAGTGGAATTACTGCTGATTTCCTCCAGTGTGATAGGAGAAGCGAGTCACACGTGTATAAATCTGAATGAATAGACCAGTTAAAACAATTTTGTTACATCACTACGCTGTCTCTGGATATTCCCTTGGAAGTGAAAGAAAAGGAGAAAAAAAATTCAGGCACTGAATTAAATTCTTGATTTATCCACATCCTCTACAGGCCACTGAAAATAGCCCAGCTACAATACTGAGAAGCTGTCACTCTTCTTGCCAAAGTTTTCAGTTGTAGTTTAGATTTGTACCTAATTTTAAAATGGATGAGTTAAACACTCTAGTCCACTGGACTCTGGCAACCAAAGCAGCTTTGAGAATACTTCCGTTATCACACCGTGTTTGTAAGAATCATGAATGGCTTCAGAGAACCTGTCTTTTACAGAACAGCCCGATTGCTTTTGTTGGGAAATAAAAGATGTTTCTTCACTCATCAGAGCCAAGTACTACCCTTTTCAGTACACTTGCTTTGGGGAGAGAGGAGAAGGGCCAGGTTTCCTCTAAAGATTAGTTAATCCTGACCCATGTCAATACCAAACGGTTTGCCAGAAGTGCTTGAACAGCTAGGCTTGACAGAGAAGCTGCTTGAGGCGTCAGGACAATACATGTTACGTTTATTTCATGTAAGTCACTTAGGGAGACTTTTGCTTGACTCACCAGCAACAGAGAGACTTTCCATTTTGAAAAATAAAATCCATAACAGAAAAACAACAGCCAAACCCCCTGCATTCTCAGTCAACATTTCATTTCACTTAGGGTAGAATTTCTCTTCTTTTTTATTTTTTATTTTTTTTTGAAAATGCTCTCTTCCTTCTAAGGCTACGGTTCCTAGCTGATCAAGAGAGGTCTTAGGATGAATTAGTCTAAAACTGCTTAAAATTTGCCTAGGGTTTTACTAGAGCTTGAACTGAACTTGTTGGTTTCATTCAAGACGCTGTTCTGATTTCAGGTCCTTCGTTACTTCTATATAATTCTTTTGTAAGAAACAATCTCCTGCCTTTGCTGTCTTCCAAGACTCCTAAACACCTCCTGAGAAGCACATCTCTGTGGACCTTTGAAGATGCTCTCGTGCTCTGTTATCAGCCTTAGTGGTCATGAATGTACATGCACTTCTTACTCGGAGAAACCTACAGTGTACATGGGAAATGCAAACGTTTCTCCACATCTGTGTTATCTGGCTATTTAGAAACAATACACTATAAAGGAAGCATTCAGAACGGATGAAGAGATTCCTAATCATGTGGGCATCAAGACTGTATGTCTGCCTAATGTTGATTAGATTGCCAAACCAAGATGCCAAGGGAGAACAAATAAATGCAAAAGATGAAAGAGAACAGCCATAACATATAAATATAACATTTAAGACCTGACCCTCTTCTTGCTTTTGCTTTATTTCTGTCACTGTGATCCATTTTTTCCCGATATTTTTTTCTGGATTCCTATTATAGACATGAGAGAAGAATCAGATATATATTGGATGCCATGGCAGAATAACTTCCTCATTTCTTGGGCCACAAGAAATCATGCTCCTTTCAAAGCCAGCCGATCTGTACCTGTGCCTAGGTAATTGCTTTTAAAACTAATGGGGAATGTGTGAACCATCTGTGTGCTAGGCCATCTGTAGGACTAATTTACTCATTGAGTTGGACAAGCACATTTAGCTTTTAAAAAGCTAAGACTTAAAGAGCTTACAAAGAAGTGCTTGAACCTCTTATGCGCTAACAAAATGTAATTCTTTTAGCCCAAGAAAAAAATTCAAATTTTGCAATCTTTACTGCCCCCTAGTGAGACAATTCCAGAAATCTATTTATACAGGAAAAGGGGTGATAAAGATTGACAGCACAGATTTATGTTCAGAACATGTGACTGCTCTTGAACAATAAGAACTAGAATCATACCCAATAGTTACAATCCCAAGTCTTTTGGACAGGCACAATACCTGCTCATGATGCTTAGCTAGGGAATCAAATATTTAGTTCAATGCAATTTAGGTATGGAAATAGTGAGGTCATTAAAAGTTTTTGACAGCTTTCTTCAATTTAATTTTAGAGAATTTTTTTGTTTTAACAGAACAATCCATGACAAATATAAACAACTGGAAAGGTAACCATGTGGCTCTAGTGATATAGATTTCTTTTGTAGGTAAAGCAGGAAGAAGGTGTGTTACCTGAGTTGTCCTTTGAGTCCGATTCAGAGTCAGAGGTCTCTGAGGATTCCGAGGTTTTCTCTGGGAGATGAGGAAGTTGTGCAATATCCATCGGAGTGTCCTTGTACTCTGGGTTACTAAAGAAGAGACAGAAAATACAAACACAAATGGATGATTTGCAGCTTGATAGTTTTTCCCTCTTTTCATATCAAAGTTCAGGAACAAAGAACATTAAATAGCAAGAATAGCAGAGAAAATACAAAAATATACATTTTTTTTCTCCTAAGTCCTTCACAGTGGGTATTGTGTGAAGGTTTATTTTAATGCTACTGTCAAATATTTACATTGACCAGGTACTTAAAACTTGATTGATTCCAGTGAAGTTTTAGAGCAATCAAAGCATTCTTACAAAAGTGGGACACCATGTCTCGTGTGATAGCTAACAGTACAGCTGCACTGTGCAATCCTCCAACAATAGAGTATCTAGAATTCAATCCCATTGCTGTGCCTGGAAGGACAGGGAGCACGTTTTAACCTTTCCAGTCTGTTTCTCTCCCACCGGCACTGGCTATTAAGAGTTATCTCTGTAACAGTGTTCTCTATCAGTCCTGTCAGGGCCCTTTCAATACCTGTTTTTCTCAATGTCCTGTTTTCCAGACTTTAATCAAGCGCACTAAAGTTAGTAAGAATGCGCTCAGTTAGCGCTCGGGAAAATGACCACTGCTCAAACACCACTGAAGAGTTCAGTCAAGAAATAAAGAGAAAAGGGTATATATTTTTAAAATAATGCACGCATGCATCCACATCACCAAGAAATGAAAAGCAACCATTCTAACTATATGACAGATGCACATGTGCATGTTAAGATGCATATGTTAGGGATACAGAACTGTCAACACACCCATTATAATCATATCTTCATCTGCTCATGTGGTGCTCACCTGTGACTTGTTAGCAACGAACATGACTGCAATGTAGAAAAGCCACACTACTGGAGAGACTGAAAAAAAAGCTTATGCTTTTTCTCAGTTTGTACCATTTAAAAACGTGTTCCTTTCTCAAATCAGTGGAACAGAGGAACAGACATAGCTAGACATAAGTGGCATAAGAAGGTAAAAAAAATAAACAAAGTCTTCAATCATTTTTGAATAGGTGAGCATTTCCATGCAGCTCAAATTCCAGCCTGGTGATAGAGCAGAAAATCTGCAGTCCTGCGTAGAACAATACGAGGCATCACTGGGGGAGACTGACACAGTATCACAACGACATTGTGCCCATATTCAGCCTATTACAGTATGCTGTGAAAATTTAGAGTTCACACAGTTCACATAGACATGCCATTCTTATGATTATCATCTTTATGGTTTTGTCCTGACAAAATGACTTTATTCTGTTGCATCCCAGGGCAGTCCCAAAATTTGTCCCCTCCAAGCAAAAGATGTTTGAGGGCTTTCACACTCTGAATAACAAGTTGCTAGAACAAGAACAGCATTAATCCTCGCTGTCACTATAATTAGTCTATCCTTTCACAGACAGCTGAATCATACTTTCTAATGCATGGAAATGTATACAGACCAGTACTCCTGCTAAGAGTAGACCTAATTATGCTTTGATCTGTCATTAAAATATTATTTGGATGTTTGGATTTTTCATAGATTCAACTATTAGGAGAAATCTAAATTAAAAATACAAATTCAGTGGAAAAGCTAATCTTTCTGTAACAAACCAATGAAAGGAATGCATTAGAAAAAATTTCTGGGAGGAGCTTTTACAGAGTGAGACCATACTGCTCCTCTTTTTTGGTGGAACATTTGTGGACTAGGTTCACCATTCTCTGGAAAGCAGCAGAGGAGACAGAGGCATTGGCTTCTAATTTTTATGGAACACTTTTCCAGCCAGAAAATGCAAAAATTTCTGGGCAGTCTGAAGCCCTGATTAAGATTAGGACAGTGAAGATGTACTTCCAGTTCAGAACTGGCATCCTTAAGATGAATTCTTTTGAGTGTTGCATTCTGCCTTATTCTTGCTGGCTCAGCTAACAGACCACTCTGGGGATGCTGAGCGTCCACCTTATTTCAACAAAGAGAAACAAGGTAGCAGAATAAAGGTAGACTGTGAAAAGCCCATGCTCAGGCATATCAGAATAGAAACATCTAGGCCCCAATCAACATGTCATTGCTGTGGAAGGTTACCCATAGTATCCCTAAATATTCTCCTGCTCTAGTGGTCGCTTCCTCCTCTGCCCCTGAGGGGGAATCAGAAGTATTGCAGCATGCCACTTTAGGCAGGCACAGTCTCCTCGGGGCTTGTTGGACCTGGCATAAAAGTCACAGTCTAGCCCCTAGACATCACTTTGAACTGTCATGGCATCAAAGGGAATGTAAAAAACCATGACAAGCAACTTAAAAGGGGAACAGGCCAGAAAATGGCAATTGTATTTCCTGACGATCTCAAGGTTTCAAATTCTATTTGTTTGTTGGTTCTGCTCTGGCATGAAACAGAAAATCCCCCAATCTTATTGAATATTTTCACAAAACAGAATGTGTTGATAGGTGTTTTCAGATCAGAAAGATCAGGTTTCTACTTCATTGTCTCTCAGTGACTGTTGGTTTTGCCTTGAGTTCAGAAATCAGTTCCTTAAAAATACTTAGACTTTGGTAAAACAGAATTTCTCAAGGAACAGCATTTCCTTCAAGATGCTACCACAATTTCTGTTCAAAAATTTGCTGCTTTTATTTTCAAATCCTATTTTGCACTTTTCAAGAGGATTACTGTCTGATGCTCATCAGAGGAACACATTCTTTCAAGGATCTTTTTGTGAGAAAATCCTACTCTCTGGACTGGACTGGTAATCTTGCAAAGATACCTTTTCGTAGCATTCCAGGAAATTTGCTTCCACATATTGACAATAATCAAATAAACCAGTGCCCAACACAGCGTATGAGATTTTGTAACACAGCCACAGCAAGCTGGGCCAGATCTCTTGTCATGCTGGGGAGATTTCAGAGCAGTGGAGGGGAGGGGCAAGTAATAAAATGAGGGAGGGTTTATTTGAAGACCAGTTATTCAAGAAGATTGCAGTATCCTGAGACATGACAGATGTCTTAACATACTCAGACATCAACCAAAAGGCACTGTTTCTGAAGAGGATCATGTGAGAAAGCTCTTCTCATTAACCTTCTCCAGCAGGCAACTATTTTTTCTCTAAAACTCACAGCAACAGAGTCAAGCAACGAAGACAGCTTTTCAAGAGATGGAAGTGATTGGAAGACATACCTAAGAAGGTAATTGACCCAGATGATATTCTTCTCACTTGCGTTCTTGGCATTGACAGCTATGGTTGCACTAGACTGTATCCAGATATACCCTCCATTCTTCTGCATCCAGCGGTAATACTTTGTTACACACTGACCCTTATTCAGCACTGGGAAAAACAAACACAACAGAAACAAGAAATATAGCATGTTAGAATCCTAGTAAAATGATCTTCATTGTATAATATGACACATGTATCAGCAGAAGCTATTGGGCCTCTTTTAGGCTTAATGTGGCATGCCAACGAGAAGACAAACAGGATCTGACGTCCACTAGAAGTAGCTGTATGTTTTACAACCTTTTAAAGTAACGTTTTAGTCTGTTTTTGGAAACTCCAGTGAAAGAAGAAAAGCAAAAAAGAACCTACAAATCTCTTTGGTTCACAGAATACTTATGGCTTTGTGGACATTTTCAATGCTTGCAATGTCAAATCGTTAAAAAAAAGAAAAGGGGAGAAAAGGCAAATTTATATGTGATTTATTCATAGCTCCTAGGTAGACCTCTTCGAGATCCTGGATATTTGAAAGGTCTGGGTAGATACTCTACTCCTGCTGCTTTGATCATTTCTCCTTATTGCAGGCGATATCAACTACTGAACTTACACATCTGTTCCTTTTGATCTTGTCAAACAGAATTTACAGTTCTCAGATGAACCAAATCTCCACTGGTCAGTAGGGGGAAAGTCTTGCGAGAATTTACTTACTACCAGAGCAAAGTAAATCCACCAACAGACTTGAGAAAGAGGCCTAAGGGAGGCACAGAATGACTTGGTTAGAGCCTAAGAGTGACAGCTCTCTCCGATGTTTTAAATATCCTAGCCAACACAGAAAAAAGTAAAAGCAATCAGTAATGTGAAACAGTGTTATTAAATGCTCACAGGAAGAAGGCTGAAAAATACAGATGTTTTAACTAATACCTTAACCAGAATGTTGCCCAGTGGAAATGGATTTGATCTGTATCTGATATATCAGTGTCAGGAAAAGGGGATGAAATGCAAATCTTTCAGTGGAAGGAAGTGGCATAATTTTAAAGAATGCCTAAACTATACAAAGTCTGGGTACTTATTATTACTTGAGTGCTTACCCTGGCTGCATTTCTCTCTAATCCCGTAAAGCTTTGTGCACTAGAGGGCACTGTGCATTCATATACACCCTCTGCTTTTGTCATGTCCTTGTCTCCGTCTGCTAAAATGAAAAACCTCTAACTGCTGTAATAAATTTGGCTAAATTAGCTGCTAAATGGTTATCTCAAGTAATATGTATTTGCATTAATCATCTTGCTCTAAACCAGAACAAGCCAGAGTCCTAAAGACGTAGTAAATTCATATTGTCCATTTAATTACGGCTAATAAGTGCTTCATATACAATAGTTTCATGAAGTACATTTTGAATTTTTTTTTTGTAGAAGGAAAAGAAAAAAGTCACTTTGGAAAAGAATAAGTATTTAAGGCAGTTAAACTTCCTATCATAAAGGTGACAAATGACACTTTGGAGCTTTCAAGTTAACCAAACGTCTATAACCCTAATTATACCTATGAATGTGTCTCTATCTAAATCCATGTACAACAGATATCTACAGAAAAAGATATTTACAAAGGCAGCCATACAAACATAGATGCTTTGCTTCCCTGGAGGGACTCCCCCCCCCCCCAACTTTTTCAAGTATTGAATAAAAAAGCGCATGTCTGACAAGCGAATGTAACGTGTACGTTAGGTTCAACTGCAATATGAACAAATGTTTGTGATCCGGGTTCTGTTTTTTTTCAGCTACCTCTATTTCTAACAGAGATCCATAAGTTTCCTCAAATTTTTGTTTTTATATTCCAAGCTCTAAATATTCTGCTATGGTGATTCATTGCCTTCAAAAACCTCATTATAGAGCAGAATAAAGATAAAATAGTAACAACTGACTATCCAGCATTTCTGTCAAACCACTGATGTATGCAACTTTAGAAAACAATCTCACATAAATTAGTCCAACTTTATTAGTTATGAAGAATAAGGGAAGAAAAGTACTGCTGTAAGTTTTGATTACAGTTGACTTTTTCAGTTCAGTAAAATAGAACGTTCAAAATACTCCTGTTTACAGCTGACAGTAAAATTGATATGCCTGCAAATCTGGAGTGATACTGTCTCCTTTCTGGAGAACTGAACACAAACAGTTGCATGCAGAAACTAGTAAAATATATCTACACTTGTATCTATTAATTATACAGTCCTGTTCTTCATAACAGCTTTTATCTGAGAAGTTTACCATGCTATACAACTATAAAAGGATGACTCTTCACAACTACCTTCATGCACATTTGAAAGTCAAGGGACCAAGTGAGCTACTGACTAGCTGAAGAACACGCTGGAATTGTGCGATATGTGTGATATTCCGTGATCTCAGTCTCATTATAGACATGTCATTTCCTCCTGCAGTACCTTTTGCATTGGTTGTTGCACCACTGAAAAAGTCTCTGTCATGAGCAGAACAGAGCATTCATTTCAGAACTATGGAAAAAGGGGGAAAATTAAAACCTCAGAAATTATTTTTGGAGGAAAAGGTGTTTGCTTTTCAAGAAAGAGAATTCAGTGCATCAAAGTCACATGCAAAACATCTGCAGTCAGAGTTCAGGCTCCCAAATTACTATGCATTCAAAGACTACTTGAGATACCATCTTGGAAATGAGCTTTCCACGAAGTTCATCTACCTGCAAATACCCACCCTCTATTTGGCCAGCTGAGATATATTAGCATATACACAGGTATTTCCTCACTGCAACCATTTAAAAAATGTTTCATTTGAGAGATTTGGGGACCATACATTGAATGAAGTCCCACAGTTCAATATGAAAATTCTCTAGGGAGATTGTTCGGCAGACTGGCTGTGCCATGCTGCTAAAGCCCGGGTCTCACATCCTTTGAGAGCATGGTAAGCACTCACAACCCAGTTCTGAAAGATCATACTATAGCTTGGACAGAAATTTCTCAATGTGATGAAAAAGAAAAGATGAAAGAAAAAATGCAAACAATTGAAATGTTTTTAAATTTCTGTTATCTTTTAACTGCTGAAATTGCCAAGCTGAGGACTTACAAACTAGATGAGGATTTTGAGAAAATGAACAAAGAGGAGGATGCTTCTGGAAGTCATGTCTATCTGTTTTATTAATAACCTAGTGTTTCTGAGTAAAGCCCAGTTTCATCTTGAGGGTCTCCATTTTGCACATACAGGGAGTCCATTAAAAATGTTATAGATTCTGAGAGTGAATAAAAGCAAAGAGTTAAGTCTAGCTTAAGCTCTGCTTGTGAAATTATGTTTTATTACTAGCAACAGACCATTCATTTAAGCTTAGCACAAACTTATGAAAAAGTAATGCTATTTGGACCACATCCTGTACTTAGTCTGACTGCCTTTCTTTAGGCAAATCCCTTTCAGAGAACCAGAATTCAGCTCCATATTTTTGTACACTGAGAAATGCAGAGTTTTACATTTCTATGCTTCACTGCAAAAATATACACGGAGTACCCAATCTTGCAGACAATGCAGTATGTGGGAAAGTGGGACGCACAACCATGTCAGTGGGATGGCTCATGTGACTGAAGTTACATGAAGGATTGGGTGCACTGGTTTATTTGTAGGAATAGCAGGGAGGATGACTTCTCTTATAGACTTAGTCTCTTCTGCCAACAGATGCATAAGTCTCTATAGCATTGATGGGAGTTACACGTTTACAAGAAAAAGGAGAAAACAGATCTTCTTGTTACTAAGCCAAATTGTGTGGAAATACAGTGAAATCTTTCTAACACTGGCTTAATAGCTGTCAGGAACAATCTTTACAGTGACTATAACTGTGAAGAGGAAAATGAAAAAAACCTTCAATACTAGGAATAAGATGACAAATATAATTATACCTACATAAACCCTTTAATCAAAGGAAATTACTGAGGGTTAACGTTTTAAAACTAGTGACCTTTATGTTACCTGCACAGATATATTCCCTAAAATGGTGGATGCTAAATTTGACTAAAATTTGCTGAAATGTTACATAGTTATTCAATTTGAATTCAGAGGTTAGCATGCAAGAAATGCACAGTATGTGCATTTCTAAGAACTAAAAAAACCCCTCACTTATTTCTCAAAGTATGAATATATTGCTATGTATACAGTTCCCAACAGAGGGATTTCAGTCTTGGAAGCTTTGCGCACAGCAATATACTTGTAGCAGTGGAGTGAAGGAGGGGGGAGAAGAAGAAACAGCCAGTGTTCTTTGCAGGAACCTAATTCTGTTAGAAAATCAAAATAAATCAGTACAAGTTTGTCTTCAGAAATATGGTTACAAAAAGAAAAAGAACATGGTTTCTTCCTGTAAGGCTGTTCTAAGAAATGAAAGCCAAGGCTTCTAAATAGTGAGTTGTTTTTTAAAAGAAGGAAGTAGTTTAATTCAGTTTGAAGAGGAGATGAAGAAACTGTATATCAAAAGCAGTCTTTTAGCAAAGTCTCTTACAAAAGGACATTTTACTCATGTGCATATGCATTTAAAAGCTACACTATATTGCGTATTCAGGTAAGTACAGAGTAAATAGGAAATGATGAGATCATCTTACATATTCACACGGCTTCACAAAGAGGTTCTTTTAATTGGTGAAAATATTGAGGTTACATCTGCTGTGCTGTTCACCCTTCTCCTCGAGATACCTTTATCAATGACTGCATGGTATTGATACTCAATTCCTCTTGCTAAAAAGTTACAAAAATATTTTTAATTTACTGCATGAGGATGAAAATACTGTACTTAATACCACTGTTGGATACTTAGCTGTAGCCACAAGTACTGTTTCTACATTCACAAAACTGGCAGATGAAACATGAAAAGGAATACTGACTCTTTAATCTCCACTTCTCCACCTAAGGCCCAAGGCAAGCTGACAGGGTAACTTCATTCTGGAAACAGTTTTTTTTTTTTTTTAATTCTGGATTACTTTTTCTTCTCCTTTTGAAAACTAGGGGCTGTAGGGGAATGAACCTGGCATAGACTTAAAACAAGAACAAGTATCTTTATCTGAAAAGTTACAGTCCTTGATGCTTACAGGAAGGTCATTTTCAAAACCCACAGAAAAAATAGCA